TTTGTAGTGTCTGCTTTTTAGACTGCAAAAGTTTGTACTGTCCACATTTTGAGGCTACAAAAATTTGTAGTTGACATATAGTTTATAGTGTCCTTGACTCTGTATAGGTTATGGGGATGAGGTTAAAGAATTGACATAATTTTACATATTGCCATTGCTGCAGCATTGATTTTTGACATCATGTACAAGTTGTCTTTCATGTCAAGAAAGGCTATTATATTCTATGCCTTCCTATTGATAGCTACTGTCCTATTTCAAAATCATAGTTCTAGGTCCATGTGGATATGGTTTGAAGGATTAAATAACTTTACCTTTTGCTATGGCCACATCATTAACTTTTGATACAAAAGTGGACACTACAAACTTTGTGGTCTAAAAAGCAGACACTATAAACTTTTCTATTAAACAGGCACACACTACAAACTTTTGTAGTCTAAAAAAGCGGACACTACAAAATTTTCTAATGGAAAAGCGCAGACTACAAAAGTTTTCAGCTTGGATAACCTTTTAACCTAACCCCAACTTTGTAGTCTATTCTATATCTGACTCTTGTAGTCTGTCAGTGTCAATTGCTCTTTCAGGGAATGCACCTTCCTTTTTTGGTCATTTTTCCCACAATACAACATTTGTTGCCCTTTCATTTAGCTTTCTAAATGTGTTGGAATCATGTTATTTGGTTTTGTTTTCATGGAGAAAAATGCAAAAAACAAAAAAAAACACGGCACTTGGAAGAATCTTTTACATCATATCTTCACAATGGGAGCACTTCACAACATAATTCAAACAGATTCAGGAAGCTACAGTGTAGGGCTACAACTTTCGTTTTTTGACCATTTTAGGAAATTGGTCATGTGATCACCCTCCCAACAACCCATGTGATACATATCATCATTATTATCTATTTTTGGTAATGAAAGTGCTAGGGAGCCTAATGAGAAGTAATGAAATCATCAAGGTGCTCAATGAAATATCCTAATGAAAGTGCCAAGAAGCCTAATGAAATATTCTAATGAGAATTCCATGAAATGGTAATGAAAGAGTCAAGGAGCTGAATGAAATATCCTAATGAAAATTCTAAGAAATAGTAATGAAAAAGCGAAGGAGCATAATGAAATATCCTAATGAAAATTCTAAGAAATAGTAATGAAAAAGCGAAGGAGCATAATGAAATATCCTAATGAAAATTCTAAGAAATGGTAATGAAAAAGTGAAGGAGCCTAATGAAATATCCTAATGAAAATTCTAAGAAATGGTAATGAAAAAGCGAAGGTGTCTAATGAAATATCCTAATGAAAATTCTAAGAAATAGTAATGAAAAAGCGAAGGAGCCTAATGAAATATCCTAATGAAAATTCTAAGAAATGGTAATGAAAAGGCGAAGGAGCCTAATGAAATATCCTAATGAAAATTCTAAGAAATGGTAATGAAAAAGCGAAGGAGCCTAATGAAATATCCTAATGAAAATTCTAAGAAATGGTAATGAAAAAGCGAAGGAGCATAATGAAATATTGTAATGAAAATTCTAAGAAATAGTAATGAAAAAGCGAAGGAGCATAATGAAATATCCTAATGAAAATTCTAAGAAATGGTATTGAAAAAGCGAAGGTGTCTAATTAAATATCCTAATGAAAATTCTAAGAAATAGTAATGAAAAAGCGAAGGAGCCTAATGAAATATCCTAATGAAAAGTCTATGAAATGGCAATGAAAGGGCCAAAGAGCTTAATGAAATATCCTCATGATATCTCATTATCCTTGCCTATATCTTATGAAAGATTCTAGTGATAAATTGAATGAAATAGATGGGCAATCCTAATGAGATGCCTTTCATAAAACCTGTGGCAGTATACACATTGCCTCTTGGACAGTTGTCATAGATTAATCATAAATAGTGGTAGCCACTAGTGATTCATCGTATACCCATCAGGACTGCATTTTTCTGAACCCTCACAACCACCGAACGAGGGCAAATTCACAATATGCTTGCGTTCCAGCGGAGGTTGGACCATACAGCTTTCTCTTTGAAGCGCTGCAGCCAGGTGATGGACTGAACAAAAACTAGGAGAAGGCGGTGGTGCAGAATCTGGACGGTTGAAACCTTTCAGCATGTAGTGGAATTCTGACGAAGAATTCACCCCAGAGGAGTAAGCCCAGATCAGTATTTCTGTCAAGGCGATGAATGGACTGATGGCAGATTGGCGACAGGATCTGGAAAACAACAGTTTTGAAGGTAGATTGGCGAGGTCAATGTCATGCTATGTGACAGCGTGTTTAAGCTGCGCACTCGCATTAGTACTTCTTGGCCGTATTCGGACTATCATATGGTAGGTGTGAAGTCATTCGGCGGAATGCCCACGTTCACAGTCTTGCAAGTAATACATGATGTCTATCATCCTTAGGCGGTACTCTTGACACCATCCTTGACCACCTGCCAGGAAGCCCTTCCGGACACCTCCTTGAACCAGCTAAAGAACAAGCCACGTTAACAATGGGGACGACACTCAGATCCACAAACACGTACCGATCAACGTTGGGCTTTGATTCTATGACGTTACTCCCCGCCGCAGGGAGGTATGAGCCGTATGCAACGTGAAAGATATCAGCGAGAGTGATTTCCTGCAATCACATCGGTAAGTATCGCGTCATCAGATGGTACACACGATGTGAGACTGACATCTCCAGCTAGGTACTTCTGCTTTGCGAGGATCGTGTCATACACATCCAGATGCTTATCCAGGGCGGAGATTGCTGCCTCATAAACCGCAGGGTCTGAGGTCAATCCACGGTATCTTGGGGGCAAAAGTGTGTCAGAACGCGATACAATATTGCAAGACCAAAAAATCGGCTCACTTTTTGAACACGTTTTTGGCAACGGCTTGGACGCGTGTGGATGGAAGTTGAAGGCTTCAATCGATGCGGCTTGCTCGGAGAGACCGTATGCCTTCGGATCCTTTGGGAGGAGTGGTGTTCCTTGATCGGCGTACTTGGCCGCGATATAGCGAGCGATGGCCCTACTTTCGTACACGATGTATCCATCATCGTCCTGAAGTCGGACACCCTATGAAGCAGTTGCGTGATAAGGAGAGAGATCGAAGCTCACGATGTAGGGAACCTGTCCGAATGGTTGAATCACGAGGTATTCCGGGGCCTTCTGCTCGCCCTTGCTAATGTCGACTGGGATGAACTCGAACGGAACGTTTTTCTCGTACAACACTGTTGCAACAGTCTGAGTGCAAGTGGAGAGGTGGAATCCGTAGAGTTTAAGAACCATTGTGAGACGCGTTCAAAGAAATGAATCTGGAGGTGATGAAGAGCGAGGTTCTTGCCTTGCTCTTCTTTTAAACATGTCGGACTGACTGGAGACGCCATACCGGCACCCATTCGTTGTAGATGGGAATTTCTAGAAGTCAAGTCAGGCCTGCAAGACTGCATTTAGAGCCGAACGTCCGTGCATGCGTAGTACGGTAGGCCTAGATTTCAAAGCTGTCATAGTTTTCCGATGGAAGGCCGTGCAGCAGTGCTCAGTCAGCTGTAAGTGCTAGGCACTCAAGTTTGAGCGTTGAGGTATAGCCTCAGATGCGGACATCTTGAGACAAGGTTGAGGTATAAGTGTTGAGATTCTGATGACCGTGTGATGACCATGATAATGATCTATATATGTGGTGGGATTCATCAGCTCCGAAAGGACAGTTGACCTATGAATATGAATACTTACTGGAAAAGACTCCATGGACGTGTTGTGTTGGTGTGGATTGTAAATAGAATCTGTTCCCAACGTAGCAATGTTGATTACGGCCCGCTAGTCCAAGCGTCCAGCGAGAAAATCACCGTAACCCAAATCACTTGGAATTCCCCCGAGTGAACAAAGCTTTCGCTTTATCCTTAACCTTCCTCACCCGTTTCTTCCCCTTTCGCTGTTTCGTCACTTGGCTAGAAGTGGGGTTTTCCTCAGGTAGGGGTACAGTCGGGACTCTCCTACTCTGCAGTAGCTGGAATATCAGCGGAGAACCTGGGGAGACGATGGGCGAAACGCGGGGTAGTTCTTCGGGAGCTGCTGGGATGGGAGGGTGGATGGAGGCGGACACGGATGAGGTCTCGACTGGAGGATTGGTTGGGGTAGCTGGTATAATTGGCGAAGCAGGTGTTGGCAAGGGCGACACGATACATGGCGGAGAGATGAGTGGCGGAGAGATGGGTGGCGGAGAGGTAGGTGTTGGTATAGGTGGGTTTGATGGGGAATTTGGTATTGCTGGTGTGTCGGATGAAGGAGGCGGCAATCCAGAGGATGGTTGTTCTGGAAGGGAGATGGGCGGAAGAGGAATATGGGACTGTGTTGGTGATTTGGGGAATCGTTCTCGTACCACGTCCCAGGAATCAAGGCTATTGGAAGAATCCAGGTAACGGATCGTTTCACAGAGTCAGCTGACGTCCGTTCCTCTCAAACTGCTGAGCGCTCCGAGTTAACGCGCAGTGGCGTGCCTCAGCGTAGGAGGCACCAGAAAGGACGGCGGTCAAAGAAGAAGTGTGAGAAAAAGAAACAAAACAACGCCCTTCACCAGACTCAAGGGGACGAAGAGATGACATGCTATTTCGTTTCAGATATTCACAAAAGCAGCAGATCCACTATGGAGACACCACCAGAAACCTAGAACAAACAGTAAACTACATTGAAAGCCGAAAGACGAACACACATGCCTGGCTTCTTCATCATCATCGAAGTAGAACTTAGCGATCCCTGTCTAGCGACATTCCGGCTCTACCTTCTCTCATCCATCCTCGGCGTTCTTCGCATTCCTTGTCATCCCTCTCCCTACTATCGTCCTCACTAATCCGCACGAGATCCGGTCGTAATTCATATCCTGTAGGAGGACAAGGATCCACTGCGGCCGACGGATCGCTTTCCTGCAGCTCGGGCCTCGCCTCGCGGATCCTACAAAAGACCAACCAATTAGCTCATCGTCAAGAGGGGAGGAGTGATGTCGTACCAGGCGGTTATGCGATACTCTATGTCGGGCCTGTGTCGAATCTTGCATCGCCAAAAAACATCGGGTATGATTGAAGATCCAAAGTCCTGCCCATCGAACTATCGAATGCTGGAAGCACAACGAGGCATCTGTGCACCACCGGAGTCTCTTGGGTTGGATGATTGTCGTGAGGGCGAGCCGTCGGTAGAGCTGCGGAGTACTGAGAT